TTTCCGGAAAAATTTTCGACTTTCGACTTTCGGCATCGAGTTGAATCGATACTATTGTTCGCAGGGAGATGGGGTGGGACTACATGTCCTTCCGGCTGTGGATCGGCATCTGGGTGGTGACGATCCTCATCATCCTCGTGGCCATCGACGCGAGCGCCTTCGTGTGCTACATCACGCGCTTCACGGAGGAGAACTTCGCCACCCTCATCGCCTTCATCTTCATCTACAAGGTGACGAAAACAAATGGAAAGAAAGATAACAATGCGTGTGTGGCGACAGCGTCCGATGCAACTATATTGTGCCCCGCCAGGCCGTGGAGAACGTCTTGTCGATCGGGAAGAGGTTCCCGCTCAACACCCACGGCGGCGTCGAGCTGGACTACGACTGCTCCTGCGTGCCGAGCAACCTCACCTCCTACACGAGCCCCATCAACTGGTCCAACGTGTCCACGCAGAACTGTCACGTGAGTGTCGCGCTGCAAAAACATCTCTCTTTTTGGATTGAAACGAGGAAAGTAAAGGCGAGCGTTTTCTTGATTGTGTTCGTGTGCAGACGTTCAACGGCACCCTCGTGGGCACGGGCTGCTTCACGCCCAAGTACGTTCCCGACGTGTTCCTCATGTCCGTCATCCTGTTCCTCGGCACGTTCATCCTCTCGGTGCAGCTCAAGGACTTTAAGAACGCCCTCTTCTTCCCCTCCAAGGTAAGCGTCAGTCTGCTCGACCCCGAGCCTTGCTCGTCTCGTAGAGGCAGCGCGCTGATCTCTCTCTCACTGCCCTCGTCCACCAGGTGCGCCAGTTCATCAGCGACTTCGCTGTCATCATCGCCATCATGTCCATGTCCTTCCTCGACTACTACGCCGGCGTTAACACACCCAAGCTCGAGGTGAGCAAAACAAAGGAGAGGATTTGTAACCCCTTTTTTTCAAAAATATAGTTCTGCCTGCTTGATACTGCTTGGATCTTATCTAAAAGCTCGACCTCCCTCTCCACCAGGTGCCGAGCGAGTTCAAGCCGACGCTGCCGAACCGCGGCTGGGTCATCTCGCCGTTCGCCGGCAACCCGATGTGGTCCATCCTCGTGGCGCCGCTGCCCGCCATGCTGGGCACCATCCTCATCTTCATGGACCAGCAGATCACGGCCGTCATCGTCAACCGCAAGGAGAACAAGCTGAAGAAGGGCTGCGGCTACCACCTCGACCTGTTCGTGCTCGCCAACCTCATCCTCATCTGCTCGCTGATGGGGCTGCCCTGGTTCGTGGCCGCCACCGTGCTCTCCATCAACCACGTCAACTCGCTCAAGCTCGAGTCCGAGTGCGCCGCGCCTGGCGAGAAGCCGCACTTCCTGGGAGTGAGGTAGGCGCCGGTCAAAATCATTTTTGTCACAACTATAAATTTCTTTGACCTTTGACCCCTGACCTCTGACCCCTCCAGGGAGCAGCGCGTCACGCACGTGCTCATCTTCGTGACCATCGGGCTGTCGGTGTTTATCACGCCCGTGCTCTCGCACATCCCCATGCCCGTGCTGTTCGGCGTCTTCCTGTACATGGGCGTGGCCTCCCTCAAGGGCCTCCAGTTCTTCGACCGCATCCTCATCATGTTCATGCCCGCCAAGTACCAGCCCGACTACATGTTCCTGCGCCAGGTGCCCATCCTGCGCGTGCACATGTTCACGCTCATCCAGCTCGCCTGCCTCATCATGCTGTGGCTCATCAAGTCCTTCAGCAAGACGTCCATCCTGTTCCCGCTCATGGTGCGTACGAGGGCCATTTTAATTACGTGAGATTTTACTTCTCAGGAAATTTTCGTTTTCAATCTCTTATTTTTTTCCCAAGAAGTTGCATTTTTTCCGATTTTTCTAGAAATACTTCATTTTTTTCCGATTTTTTTTCTGGAAAAGTTTGAAATTTTTCAGGAAAATTTTTGGATTGTATATTCCCTGTGGCCACAAGTGCTGACCCTCCCCTCCTCCTCTTCCTCCCCGCAGCTCGTCGTGATGATCGCGATCAGGAAGGCCCTGGACTTCGTGTTCATGCGGCGGGAGCTCAAGATCCTGGACGACATCATGCCGGAGACCATCAAGCGCCGGGAGGACGACCAGCGGCAGCTGGAAACGGCTGACGTGAGTCCCGAGGCAGAGACCAACGGCGAGGTGCCCACCCCCTCCTTCCTCACTTACATTATGGCTGCTAAAAACGACCTTTATTGGCGTGGACTGCATGCGTTTGTCTGACTGCCGCGGTGGTGCACGATACCCTGGCCCTAACTTTGTTCGCGGCGGTTCGGGCTGAAGGAAACATAAGGGATCGTCCAGAAAGCGTGTCCGTTTTTTCTCTGATTCATTCGGCAATAATTTCGGGAGCTCGGCGCCTGCGAGGCCCGGGTTAGGCCGGCCCGCGTTACACGCATGCACTGCAGGCGAGATGTTGCCTACCCGACAGGCGCCATGAGAGCTTCCGGAGGCAGGTTCGTAACAGCGAATAACGGACGCGTACTTCCTGGACGGTCTCAAATGAGACGATTCCCCTCTACTTTGGACCGTCTACGCGAATCTTAAACGGAGGGGGAAAGTCTAACTTTCACGCCAGCCGTGTTTGTGCTTTTTTTTTTGAAAATTTGAGCGCGTGATTTTTTTTTACGAGGGGATGCCAGCCTCTCGCTCCCACAGGCGCCGTGCAGTCGGGTATTTAAGAATGGTCGTCCTGCTCTGTGCTCCCAGGACGAAAACCTCCAGATCCCTCTGGCCAACGGCAACATCATGAAGATCCCGCTCGCCTCCATCAACATCACCGAGGAGGTGAACAAGACGGGCATCTGGAAGCAGGTGAACCAGGCGAACTCGCCCACCAAGGACGACCCCAAGAAGGCCAAGGCGGGCGCGGGCAAGAACAGGTACGAGGGGGTCGTTGTATGATACACATGGCAGAGCTACTTCGATATCATTTTTGTAAATACTGAAACTTTTCACTAAAAAAAATCGGAACTTTTTAAATTTAAAAACACGAAACTTTTCCGATATTTCTTTTTTAATAGCATGGGAAAATGTATCAGATTTGCATCTCTATCGGTGAGGGGAGCCACCGGGGTGGCGGGGTGAGGGGCATGCGGGATGCACGTGGGACACTGGGCGCAGGAGCGCTGGGCTGGGGGTCGACGGGAAGCATCACACCGTTCTGCTCTTTGCAGCAGCAGCAAGTCCAAGAAGCGGGGTAACAAGAAGGACGCGCTGCTGGACGAAGAGAACAAAAGACTGTCGACGATGGCGGAGGAGGAGGACGAGGACGAGGGCATCACCATTAAGGTGGGAGGCTCGCCGGCGTGCGGCCTGCCGGCCCTGGCCGTCAACAAGGCGCCCGCGGCCAAGGACCTGGTGCTGGTGACGGAGCCGGGCCCCGGGGCCGGCGGGCCCACCGCCCCGGTGTGAGCCTGTGTAGCAGGCTGCCACAACCCTCCTACCCTACCTACTACCTCTGTGAGTAGCGTGGCGACACTTTACTGTTGGTACCTCGCTGCCCGAGACACCCTTAGAGAGACCCGTATCGTATCCGGCCCTACCACCACCCTCCTCACCTGTCGTTTTGGCTGGAAGTGTTCGGTCGCCACTCGCTTGTTGTGCTCTCCTTATTTTGTTTACAGAGTGTTTTGTTTTGTTTTACTTCGTTTTGTTTGTGTATTGTTTTTGTAGCGTTTTGGCGCAAGATAGTGCGACATTCACATTGTGGTGTGCAGCATGTGATCAATCCTCTGCTTTGTAGTGTTTGTTGTGATATTTTGGTTAATCCCTTCCCGCTTATAAATCCGTATATTTTACATATTTTCCTTCTACCACCAAATTTAGAATACTGAATATTAAAATGAAATATGGAAATCATCGGCCCAATGGTCAATAACAACCACCGGTCCCGCGTCCGTGTACGCCTGGGATGGCGTTGGGTAGACCACCCATTCTCCGCCGGGTCAGCCGAACCGAGTGGGTTGCCTATCTACGTCAGAGCGGCGGCCGTTGGTGCCATACGGGGCGTTTTTAATTAATTATCTGTATCCGTATTAGCGACCCTCGAGCCCTTGGGCACATGCCGACCCTGAAAGCAATGCAGGGTCGATGTGAACGATCCGTTCGACATTAAGTAATTGTTTGTGTTTTTTTTTTCAGGTCGATTACGGGCTCCGAACTGGGAGGGGCGTGAATGGAGCCGAAACCACGGTGTAGTGAGAGCGAGTGGAACCGTCTTGCCCGCGTGGGTGAGGCCGGATTACCGAAAGGACGCTGTCGAGAAGGGTCGGGCTACGAAGCCGGTCGGTGTTAAGTGGATTATCGCAATTCGATAATCGAACTGATAGTTGTCAAGAAAATTTAGTATAGTTAGGGATGTGCACTTCCGAGTACACTGTTCTGAGACATCCTAATTTTGTCGACACAGTTGACACTTCGTCTGGGAACGTCGCCCTCAAGCACGCAGGTCTCTCGTGCATCAATATAGTGGTGAAGCCACATCATGGCTGTAAAATAGGGAAGTGCCAACAATACAGTGACTGTTACTCGCTTGTATGATAATTGTGAAGTTTATTTTAATATCCATTGGAAATAAATGTACAAATACTGCGAACTAAAATTAGCTTAAGTTTGACAACCCTGCCCCAAAACAAAGTCAACTTTTAAGGAAACACTTTATTGATGATTAAAAACACTAACAGCACACTATACACAAAGTCACATGCAGATACAAAAATAAACTGAAGTCCATGTCAATGATACAACAGTAATCATACTAGAAATACAGCCCATTTTACAGGAGTTTGTGCCATCACACAAACAAATTTAGAAGTAAATATTGGTACATAGAAAAAATAAATTACGAAAATTCATCAGTCAATTTAAATACATTGGCGATTGCCAATAGATTATACTATGGTTGACATGTACCAACTTTCAATGTTGAGAAAGCTTTGATTAATACTGACATGTGCAAAGCGATCACAATTATCAAGAATAAATAGTAATAAAATCTCACACAGTATCAACAATGATGTACACTTTTCCTTTACGGTCTAAAGGCTATGATTTATTTTTAAAAACTTAAAGCTTCAGTAGAACAGGCAAATCATGCTAAAATGTACAAAGCCTGCTGCACAGACAACTTGTATTTGTACCTTTAAAATGACAAACATTTATACATACTATATACAAGATAGTGTAAAAGGTAACAGAATGTTGACAAGCCTTTTAACAATTCTTATCAATTTAAATGACTGTAAGGCAAGACTTGACGTACACTACCTGCAATATTTTCACAACGTAAATAATTTATAAAAATTAAAAACGACAGATTGTCCTGGTTTAACATAAAATAACTTCATCTCAACACCATGAAATGTGACATCACATCAGCAATCTTATAACTGCAAGTCATCCACTAGAGGAATATTGGCAACTTCAAAGAACACCCTGCAAAAAGAGGACAGATTAGCAAGGAGTTCCAAGAATAACTGCTAGAATGAAAATAAGATGAAAACTTACTTGTGAGAATATTTGTTGCGAACAGTTTGAAGGGCTGTCTTGGGCTTTTTGTGCAACATGTCATTAAGTTGGTGTACCAGGTCATGGATGTCTTCCAGTTTGTACCCTGTTTGAATTATCGCATGGATTAGTATGATTTCAAGCACTTTTAAGGAGCACTTTCTGAAGTGTGTACTGACCAGAGTAGTACTCTAGGGTTGGGGTCCAACCACCCAGATTCTGCATCTTCAGTGCGAGGAATAGAGTAGCCGCTGCAAGCTTGGAGTCTGACACAGTCACCATACTGTACTCTAATAAAGACAACTCCAGGATAAATCTCGCAAGAGTAAGTTGTGGCATCGCAATTTTAGCACACTGCAACAAAAGAAGTGAAATTAGGAACAAAAAAACAGAACCTTCCTCTTTTAGCCTGCAGCTAACCGAGGTAAAACTTACCCTTGCATAGCGTCTGAGGAATCTGTATGACAGTGGCATGCTGAGGTCAAAGCCAATGACCCTCAGGATGGCAACTTCCATGGCGATTAACTCATCGTGGTTGTAGGCTCCATCACAGATGTAGGTCAGGTCATCAACAAGCGGGGGCACTCGTTCCTAAAAGGGAGGAGGAATGAGTAGCACAAAATTCTTGAGTGATTAAAGTATGCATCATAACTCACTTACATCATATTTGCTGGCAATGAACATAGCAGCTGCTCCAACAAGTTGCAAAGTCTGCTTCCCTACAGGAACTTTAGAGAGGTAAGTGTCGACGATTTTTACTCCTAGATATAATGTCTCATGGTTAAGTTCAAAGTTTTCTTGAACTTCCACCATCCAGTCAATAAGTAGAGAGCGCATGAATCGAGTCAAGTCAATTTGTTTGTCCATGTAGTCAGAAATTCTGTACTTTGCCTGAAACCAAAATAAACAAACATCATATAGTGTGAAGTATAAAATAACCAAGGAGCTACATTAATTGTGCTACATACCTCTCTCTCTTTTAAGTACTCGAAGATGTCATAGGCATATTCTGAGACGGCAAAAGGATCAGTGGCACTTTCAGCGTCAAAGTCTTCAACACCAGGGGGAAGTTTCCTAACAGGTGAAGCAGGGGCTTTCTCCAACTTTGCCTCAGCAATTTCTTCTTGATCAGGACTGAAAAGATAAATGTCAAGTTAAAGTATGAAAGAAACTTCTGGTGTGTGACTCTTGCATGTGTGCAAGAAACTCACTTGATATCCAAAGCAGAAACGTAGAGGGATGTCTCTCCAGAGTCATTCGTTAAAGAAAGACGGGCAGAAAGGCGTTTTGATGCCCGCACGGGCTCTTTGGGGACAACCTTTTGCTTCAATGAAGGAACAGACTCAACAGCAGCTGCAGAAGTTTTGCGAGTGACATGCTGGACCGTAGGTATTTGAGAAGTCTTGGACTGAGTTTGCCTTGTAGGTACGGCAATCCTGACAGGCTTCTCAGCAAGAACCTTCTTACTTGGCGCCTTCACAGGAAGGTCTTTCTTCTCAACAACAACCTTCTTGTCCTTGAACTTGCTGAAAGCCTTTGAGTGGTTGTTAGCAGCATTTTTTAGAGCATTCTTAGTGTCATTGGCTGACTTCCCAATAGCCTGAAAAAGGTGTCAGAGGTAAGAATACTGGAATAATTCATGAAGAAAATATATGAAACAAAAATGAGAACACTTACATTAGTGATTTCACCTAAAGCTGATCTCTTAGTTGCTTTCTTGAGAGGTGATTCTGCTTTCCTTTTCCCAGCCACCTGGTTCTCTCCAAATACCACAGTGCTGTTTGCTCGCTTTGCACGGGTAGCAACGCCATTGCCTAAGACTGAGTCTGCATTGACATTCTTCCACTGCAGGGAGCTTGAGCGAGTAGGAGGAGGCATTGTAGATTGTCCTTGCTAAAACAGTAAAACACAAATGTGATTAGAAGCTAAACAAATTTTACGAGATCCAAGCAGCCACAGCTTGAGAAGATGGCAGGGAGCCAAATCAGCTGATTGTCTAATACACTCCTAAATACTTCAAACATACCAGAACAGGTTTGATACTATCATAACAAAGTTTGGCAGTGACTATAGCAGCAGATAAACTGCCACCAGTCAGACAGCGAAATTTGGCTGACATAGACTTTATCAATGATTCATTGACCATTTTAGGGTGTTGCTGCCACTACCTTCTGCTACAGTATGAATGCACACACCAACATCCCCTTGCTCCAGGCAGGCAGAGCTGGAGCATGTCCAGACTTGCATGATTCCTTCCCCCACCACAAACAGGACACCCCCCCACCCCTACCAAGACATCACCCCCCCCCTCCCCCTCTTTCCCCTCTCCAGACTCCCTCCAAAGAAGCCTGCGACATATTGGTCGACTAACTTTTAAAAGGCTGCTGCTGGTTGAATTTCACCAAATGAGTCTCAACCTCAAGGAGGCAGTAAAAAGAGATACAAAATAAATCTAAACCTGGCTATAACATGAGTGCCTGGCCCACATTGCAAGATACATTAAGCAATCCCTAAAAAATATCTTACAGAACAATGTTACGACTAAGTAGGTAGGCAGCAGCACAAGATGCACTGCTACACGCACCGAGAGTAGCTATCAATTCATGATCACCGTGTTAAGAGGTTAACGGTGTGACTGCTGAACAAACTAATCAGACCCCAAGTTTGCCCTCAGATCTGACCGAGTGCATTTGGACTAGGTGTGCAAAACCTACTGGTCGAAAAGAAACCAACCATAAAATTGACAGAAACGCCAAACTTCGTAGTCAAAGAATTTGTACTATGTTACAAAAGACAAGGTAGCATAGGCATAGGTGATTCAGGAAAGGCACTAAAACACGATACCAGTTGAGGCCGCTAGCAGCCCGTAAAGCCCCAGGAATTGTGCCGGAAAGTACGAAAATTGACCCGCAAAGCGCTTCGCAAACAATCCAAAACGAGTTCAAAAGCGCATCGAAAAAGAATGCGCACGAAATAGTGAGCAATAGGCACCCTACGTAACCTAACGGAAAATGGAGGGAACCATGAACACGGGTAGAGCCCCCACGTATTTAAACAATCAAGCGATCGAAAGGGACGCGTTACCGCTGGGAACTATAATTCAGGTAAGATCACAAAATGCAAACAATCCACTACCAAAATCAATCAGCTAGGAACACGAGAACGACAAACCGGGACCAGGGACCCGGACCGTTACGGCGCCAAAGGGCGGGTGCTGATACCCTTCGAAAATTTCTACCTATCAACCAGCTTTGAACAAAACGGAACGAACCTTGGGTTTCGATTGGACCGTGAACAATACAGAAGAGAAAGAAGCGCTGGGATAAGCAATGTTAGCACTCACCAAATAAGTATGGTCCAGAAAAACAAGTACGTCCCACAGCCGTGTTGCTCCGGTGTTGACGCTGATTCAAATGCAGCTGTGGCGGTTGGTCTCAGGCCTGATTGGCTGCAGCCTTGTGGGTTTTATTTTATTTCACCCCACTGTGTTTTACACTCTGCCAACCTACGCGTCCACAAGAAAACAAAATGGGGGAAAATGGGGACAATTTTTAGCTGCGCTCTTAAATTTTTTCAACAAAAATATCAGTTTGAATAAAGAAATAAAAAATTGATTGATGTTTTCAATCTTTGAGGCGGTCACTTTCGATTGAGAGGGTTAGGACTTTGCATTGAACGGTTGGTACTGCAAGAAGTTGACAACAAATATTGTAGCGCCACCTGGTGTCGAAAGGGAAAAACAGTTTGAATAATATCAGAAGGTAAGTCTGTTAAAATTGTGTTTTTAACATATTAGAACTTAAGTTTGGGTACTTTAAAGGGCTTAATATCATATGTCCTCTATTTATCACAATTTGTTGTTGTTTGGGCGCACTGTTACCGTTCCTTCTCAAAGTTTTGACACATAACCATACTACGTGTTATCATCCTTTGCTTATCTCTTATCTCTGAAAAGAAAACATACCTGGTAAACCACTCCTGCGTTGTCATACGAATTTTCATTTTTCTTATTGTGCTTTTCAACTTTGTTCTTCTGTTCGTGTGCGTTGTTTTCTGCACAACTCTAATACTTGTTTGCCTCCGGGCCGCTTGTTAGTGTCTTATTTTACAGGTTATTTACACCCTGAAGCTTTTCATTGACGTAGAACGGTTTGTTTTAACCCCGGATCCGTTTTCAAGGACCATGGCCAAGGCTATCATACCTCCAATTTCCAAACTGTGTAATGGGGTCATCAGAATTCTCGGCATGAATCCTGGAGTAATGACATTACAGGGCACTAATACCTACCTTCTCGGCGATGGCAAAAGGTAACTGCTGAGTCTGCAGCTCTAGAAAGAACATTATTTTTTTATCCACTCATAGTTTCAATTTTACAGGCGAATACTCATTGACACGGGTGAGGATGGCAAACCAGAGTACATTGCTAATCTTAAAACTGTTCTGGAAGAGGAAGACGTCTCCATTGAACATATCATTATCACACACTGGCATGGAGATCACATTGGAGGAGTAAAAGATATATTACAACATGTTGGGTCAGGTACTGCCTATGGTTTCATATTTTAAAATGCATTCCCACTAACTACTTTACTAACAACACCTATTTTCCCCCTCCAAACTATGTTTTCAATTTGCAGATGTACCGGTATGGAAATTTCCAAGGACTGATGCAGAAGAGCAGTGTGGTATCCCCCTAAAATTTTTAAAAGATGGTGATGAGTTTAAAGTTGATGACACAGTTTTAAGGTAATTGTCATCATCACAATGGCATAACTCTTGAACATGTAGTACATCATCATTTCAGTTTTATCATATTTTCCCTGATATTTCTTCAACACAGAGTCTGTCACACTCCCGGCCATACTACTGATCATGTAATTCTGTTTTCACCAGTCAATGGACACATGTTTAGTGGTGATAATGTTTTGGGTGAGGGCACTGCTGTTTTTGAGGATTTATATGAGTACATGAAGTCTTTAAACAGCATGCTAAAATTGAATCCCATTAAAATTTTTCCTGGTCACGGCCCAGTAGTTGAGGTAAGTTTGATTCCTAGAATGAATACTGGCATGAAGAACAGAATTTTTGGATTCTCAAATTAAAACATTTTGTTAACAGGATCCAGTTGAAAAGCTGTCATATTACATAAACCATAGGAATGCTCGAGAAGCCCAAATCTTATCAGTTCTTCATGATAATCCGGAAAAGAAATTGACTGCTATGGACATAGTAAAGATTATTTATGTGGTAAGTTCAGATGTACTTGTGTGAATGCCTTTTAAACCTACAGTTTCTTTACTTCCTTTAAAATTTTCAGGATGTAAATGAAAATCTCCACAATGCAGCTGCTTTCAATGTAAACCACCACTTAGAAAAACTGCTGAAGGAAGGAAAGGTAGTGTCACAAGATGGGAGTTGGGTGTATCGAAAACAAGAATGCAACCTTTAGCACGTCCTTACCTTGGAGGTAAGCTATTTCATAATGTTTGTACTGTATTAGTGTTAAATAAGATTAATTATTATTGGTATCTCAGTTTGATTGAACATGTGAATTCAAATTCTATACCTTATTATTGTTGCATACCTATTTGTTGGTCTTTGGTGTATAAACTATATTTTTGTTATCTAATCCTTACGGTTTAGACTCTTTATTTCTACTTTATGAAGTAGGATTCTTTAAAGAACCCAAAGTTCTGGAAAGATTGCAGTGGGCTGGGAAATCAACTTAATACATCTCTATTGGTAGAATTGCACCTTTAGCCCATTATGCTGTGGAAATTGGAAACAGACCTGGTACCTTTTACTAGAGAACTTTGCTTTAATTCTGGAAACATGTCACTTCCACTTTCTAATCATGTGCAGTTATGAATGGTGCCATGAACTCAACCGAGTAAGGGAACTGTTCCAATTAATGTCATGTACTGAGAGTTAGCAAAAGTACTTTACACAACTTGGTATATTTCTGTTAGGTGTCCTGCTCTACAGCAGTACAGCAATGCCAGCATTCAAGCCAATGTATATGGTTGTTGGTTGTTGACTATTTGTCATATTCACTTGTACTCCATTTGGTGAAATAAGATCATTCACTCACAGCTGACAGATATATTTAATCACTTGAAAATGTTACAGTACTATTGTGCGCCTTCTGTATCTGCAGTATCAATCTGAGGATGTGTTACATGCATATTTAGAGAAAGTGTTATCTTCTATGCTTTCTAAAATCAGTTTCTACATAGGCTTTGAAACAAAAAGACCGTATGTCTGCTACCTTTTCCTATTGTAATTGCAAAATCATTTACTTTTATTCAATTAATTAGGCTAATGTAATTGTTACCATCTTATTTCTTAACATCTACATTTATTGCTGCACTCCATTTTACAGAACAAGACGTTCTGAGAAAAAGCAATCAGATGAATTATGTTCCAAAGAATAAGATTTATGATTCTCTTTGGTCTGAAGCATACCCAGCTCTATGAAATGGAATTTGTTTCCTGGTTTTGACAAGGCAAATATTTGAGGTCTTCTTTCTTGTCTTAAACATTGGGTTGTATGTATTTCTAGTGATTGACTTTCGCATCTCTTTAAAAATAACTTTGAAAGGGCTATGTGCCAATTAATCACGGTACATATTGTATTTGCTTCTATTTATATGTATATCACTGATACATTTTCACATCACCGAATCAATTTCAGCTTCTTATTGCTTGTAACATTCAACACATTTCTGCATGCTCAAGAGGTTTCAAAATACCTATTTGTATGGGTCTCAATTACCTAGTATGCAATATATTCTGGAACAGATCTATTTTAAAATTACATTTTAAAGAAATTAAAGAGTTCAAGATTTCTAATTAAGGAATGCTTTATCCTTTCATTTTGGCACAGGGATAAAACAGATATGTCAGATGTAAATTTATTAGGTAAATTCAAGTAACAAGAATAAGAAGAAACTAATTCCACATTGACACCTCTATGTAATTTACTTCATTTTTGTACACTGTGTACAACTCTGTGTATTCTCAGTCAAAGAACATGGATGTTATCATCACATTCTGCTTGTAGTGGTGCAATAGTTTTTGAAAACTTATCCATTAGCAATGTGCGCAAAACTATTCACTCATTGCATGGACTTCTCAGTCAACTGTCTGAAGCCTCAGGGTTTTACCAAATTCACCTGAGTGTAAGAACGCCCCACTTTAAATGGCTCAATTTTTTTTTGAAAAAGTTGGTTCATGGGAAATGTCCTCAGAGAGTCCCCTCAAGCACTTCTTTAGGATTGGTAGTGGTATATGTGCTTAAAGACCCCCCTCGGCTTAACCCACCCACACGAGACCAAACCCCATCCTTTAGAAACAATTTTTTTGGGGGGAAAAGGTTTTTTATACTCAGGTGAATATGGCACCTCATTTTCGGTTGTGATATTTTTTAGGCCACAATAAAGCGATTTTTACCCACTAGTTTATAGTGTCATTGTTGGCTTGAATACATCTACCATGACGTACGCCAGTGGGCAAAAAACCTTTTCTTTTTTTTAGCACAATCCGTATACTCTGAGATTCATGCACAAATGTTGCCGAATATTTTGATTACTTGGCAACATTGTGGGCTTTTGTGCTGTGGGAGGGCTACTTACTGCTCACATCTACTTCATTTTGAAAATATTTGGTGTTTAACATCAATACTTAATTAATTAGTTTCAAAAAGTATCTTATGAAGTTACTAATAGATTGGTGTTTTTAAGTGATGTTTTACTGAAGCAGCATAAGGTAGCAGGCAGAGTCATAACCTGAATTATTGCATGTTGGATAGGAAATATATATTTCTAATGGTCAACCAAAGCAAGCATTGAAGCTTAATTAGGAATTTATAGGCCATTAGAAACAGACACATAGAACACATTAAGGTACTTACTTTCGTAGTTTCATATCTGAATACATGCTCACAAGAAAATTTCACTGATCTGTGGATGGCACATACCTTTTTCATCTGCAGTTGAATATTTTATTCTTTTTCTGATTTGACAATTTATGCTCAATTATCAAATTATGATCACCTTAACACCACAGTATTGTTGATCACAGGAACAATTTTCCGTACTGTGTGACGGATTGACGGTGTACTTTGAAATTGTTATGTTCCCGTTGGATAAATATCACCAGGTACATGTTTAACTGTTACAGTATTGAGCTCAAATATAGGTGAGCTTTTGTTAAGTACTTACAGAGTTTGCAGTTTGAGCATAAGGCACATAAGGTCAAGGACCAGTATTCCAAAATTGCTTAACATTTCCTCTGTCAACCAAAACTTACAAAGAGGGACCAGAAACGCATTTAACTTCTTATGTCCACAGTGATCAGGAACATTTTTGATTATCTATACTCAACAGTGTTGTAAAGTACTTATTGCACAATCCTCATCACAGTTTCACTTAAGACTTCCTAAAGGGAAGTAATAATTAGTCTAACACATTCTTATAAAATCCAAGACATAAAAATCTCATGAAATATTAACTCTGTACAGGATTGAGTAGTCTACATTCTTTACATATATTACAAGGGTACATGATTTTGACCCATATTTGTACTTTTGTGACTTTAGCACTTTGATGCAAAGTAAGTTAGTTCTATATAAGCGTATAGAGTCTGGGAACTCGTGAGAAAGTGTGAACACAAAAGTAGACTTAAATAAACCATAGTTGCTGAATTAACTTTCCACTTAAATGAATTGGACCTCCAGATGTCATGTCATCGAGAGCAAATATTGAGATCAGCTAAATTAATAATCAGAAGATGTTTTAGACATAATAATTCAATTTTGTTGAACAATGCGGATATGTTCCACATAGAATTTTGTTGATGACTGGAATCCTGACCATTTTCTTAACATGGATTCTTTCCAGTTTTAAACTATTTGATGTTGCTGTTTGTGTCTCAGAGAAACTGAGTTCCCTTCCTACCAAGAGTAAGAGTCTAGCTAGACAGGCAAGTACTCAAAGTGACCTTATTACTATTATAAAAGAATGTTCTCGAGGAGGCAGAAATAAAGTAATGTGATGTGAATAAATTATTTGTGCTATCTTTCTTACTAGAACATTGGGATGAGTCTTATAAGGATTTCACATTGTCATTTCTGGTTTGGCAACACCCCAATCTGAGTTTGGCTTTTCTCCTCTAACTTCATCTAAACCAGAAGTCAGGTACATAATCACAAAATTTGCATTGTTAGTCAATCATAACTCCCTGGTTAATACTAGATTCTCACTGAAACACTGCCACACTTATTAAGAAAAACAAAAGTCGTTGTAGAAGCAAAAGTAGACCGAATGCACAGATGTGAAGGGTACCAGGGGAAACTATTTCATCTAACACAATTTTACACATACATCTACAGACGACACTTAAAAGTTTCCCTCAAATGCATTTGCTTCATTAGCTGACCCGCGCGCGGCGGGCGCTCCCACTCAGCACTACACTTGATCGAGCAGTCTGTGCGTCTCACTGGGTGTCCGTGGCCCCGCCTTGGCCGGCGACGACTCCTCCGCCATCGTGATCCTCACGCCCTCGAGGAGCTTGGCGCTCTCGGCGGGGTCGCCCTCGTCGTCGTCGTCCGCGGCCGCGTTGGGCGTCGGGCTGGGGCTCGGGCTGGGGCTCGGGCTAGGCCCCAGGCCCCCGCCGAGGCCGCTGCCGAGGCCGCCGCCGAGGGCGTCGGGCGCCGCCCCGGAGTGGCCCGAGAGGCCACCGGGGGAGGCGAGCTGGGGCACCTGGGTGTTGGGGGTGAGGCCGGGCGCGTTGGAGCCGGCGTCGCCGTCGGGCCGCGTCACCCCGCCCGCGCCGGCGCCGCCCTTGCCCGTCAGGTAGTACGTCATGAGCTGGCCCTTGCCCTTCACGGACACCATCCCGCGCTGCTCGAAGTTGTAGCCGAAGTTGCGCAGGATGCTACACGTCTCCTCCGTCACCTGTGTGGCAGAGAGAGAGGCGCATTAGGTTGACGCGCGGGCCTGGTTGACGCCGTCCTCGCGAGACGGCCCCCCCTTACCCACCTGGATGCAGCCCGCGCGCCCCGTGCTCTCCATCCGGGACGCCACGTTGACCGTGTTGCCCCAGATGTCGTAGTGCGGCTTCCTGGCGCCGATGACGCCCGCCGTGATGGGGCCGTGGTTGATGCCCATCTTGAGTACGAAGTGGTTGAAGCTCTGCTCGTTGACGCTCTGCAGCGCCTTCTTGAGCTCGAACGCGAACTCGACGAGCAGCGCCAGGTGCGCCCACCGCACCGTGATCGGGTCGTCGTCCTGCAACCGTCCAAGGCCGTTAGAGGAGCGTCCTGGCCAGGTAGACGGGCCGCCGCCGCGCTTCCCCTCCGTCCCCGGCGCGACGCCGAGGTCCCCGCCCTGCCCTGCCACCCCTCGCCGCGCCATCCCTTCCGCCCCAGCACCCCTGGGACCCCTGACCCGCAGCGGGGTCAGGTAAGGTAGCCGGAGCGGAGGGTGCGCGCGAGTCCTTCCCTTCCCTCTCCTCAAGATCCTGCGCCCCCCCCCCCTCCCCCGTGCAGGTTGGGCTGCCTACCCGCACGGCGCTCTTCATACCGTGACACACACCTTGACTTTCTTTGTCGGGTTGATCCCGCTGGCGGCCATGTACGTCGACCCGATGGTCTTGATCTTGATGATGTCCTGGAACTGCGGCCACTCCAGGAGCTGCGAGACCAACATAAGCCGACGCCCGACGCGTTATTAGAATATATACTTGTATAGTTCTACGCTACAGACAGCACACTGGTTCGAACCCTTACCGCGTCGAAGTCGGAGATGACTTCATTGAGAAACCGTAGACATTCCAGCCCCTGGTTATTCACACTCTCCTCTGAATAGAACTCTGCGGACAAAGTCAGGCACATTAATTTTCCACAGATCAATTTAAAAAAAAATGCAATTTTTTTGTAAAATAAAAAAACAAATTTAAGGAAGGGGATATGAATTTTCACCTGAGAAATTCGGCATGGACGCGAAGAGCACGCCGACCTCGGCGAAGCTGTCGGCGTAGAGCTCCTCGTGCTGGCGGAAGCGCTGGCGCAGGAAGTGCGCGGCCACGTGCTGGGGCAGGATGTTGTAGACCAGGGCCTCGTTGCGCTGCCGCATGTCCGCCGCGAACTCGCGCTGCTCCTCCACCTCGGTGCGCCACAGGAAAAGCACCCGCAGCGCCTTCTCCATCTGTTTCATTCGGAAATAGTAATCATTTTTATTGTTCGTTTGTACCTTCCTCTGAGTTACTCAAGGGTCGTGGTGCGAACGTAAAACGAACCGACCGATTTCGGACAGAAGCCTCAACGTCAGTTTCCCGCCCTTCCCCTCCCCCGGCGACTAGAGCGCACTCTATCGCGTCCACTCGCCCCCACTGGGTCGCTCGCTCTCGCTCGACAAACAACTGACAACTGGATGTGTTGTTGTGCTCGGCTCACTCGCCCCACAGTTCACCACGCCGCGTCGACTGTCACACCGGGTTTTTCTCTCTTCTAGATCGTCTACTCAGAATTCTACAAATTTTTAACGATCGAAGGTAAGGTCATCGCCAGTTATGCGTGTGTGTGTGTATATGTGTGGTGTGCGCGTGCGTGTGCGCCAAGGGTGGTGGTGGTCGTGAAGATTGTGAATGAACGAAGCACGGCCTACTTCGCGTCGCGACGGGCACGCCGTCGGCGCTAGCTCCACATGCGGCCTCCGCGGACCAGTGCGCCTGCTGCGTGGGTTTTACTTGACGTCGAGCAGGTAGGGTTAGGTAGGGTCGGGAAGGCTCCCTCTCCACCCCCCGCCCCTACCACCACTCCATGCATCCGTTTTTGTTCTCCTTACTTCTGCTCCGCGCTCTAGACAAGTACGCCATTGCACTACCACATTATTTTCTGTTTACGTATCGTGACTGTCTCGTCTGCTGCAAACTGTCGTGTGTTTCTCCAGGCGACCGCTCCTTCAAACCCGCGCGATGTCGCGTTTTTCTTGCAGAGCGTCATGGAGGAGCTCCCGGACGACGCGTTGCTGCGGGTGCTGCGGTTCGTGGACGTGCCCTCGCTGCTGACGTGCCGCCTGGTGTGCAAGAGGCTCAGGGACCTGGCGCTGCACGCGGACGCGTGGCGGCACCGCGAGTTTGGTGGCGGCTTGGTGGAGTACGTCGGCAGCTACTGCTGCATGTGCCCCGTGCTGCGCCTGGCGCCGTGCCTGCGCGTCCTGAGGGACCCGACCTGCGTCCCCCGCCCCGCCAACACCTGCCGGTCGGCGGCGCTCGCCTGGACCTCGTGCGCCGCGGCCGAGCTGCGGCTGTACGTCAAGGACGACACGGACGCCGGCACCGCCGCCGTCGCGATCCTCAGGCAGGAGGCGCTCGGGAGGCTCAGGCGCGTCGAGCTTGTCCTCGCTCACGGCCCGCTGCTGCAAGTCTCCGACACCATGGCCTGCGTGCTGTTGGCGACGGTGGCATCCACGCGTGGCTTGGATACGATAAAATTTCCGTCGTTCTCACTCGATGATTCGAGCGTTCAAATCGCGGCCTCCTTGTCCCTTGGCGGCGCCACACCGACCCCATCCGTGAAGCACTTTGAGTGTGGCTACCTGAACGAGACATTCCTGAAGTTCATCCTGACCGCGCACTCCGCCACCCTCGAGACTGTCCGCCTTAACCTCGGCGTGTCGGGCATGTCCTGCACGTACATCGCGCCCCTGCTGGCCGGCCTGCCAAACCTCAGGGAGCTGTCGTGCTGGAACCTCCCCGGGCTGGAGGCCGTGGCTGCCTGCGCGTCGCTCCGGGACCTGACCCTCACTATCAGCTCCTTGAGACGGCACCGGCGGGGGGCGGCCGCCGCGCGGACTGCCGCGTTCCTCAGTCGTGCCGTGCAGCTGCGCGAGCTGACTCTGCGCTACGGGCCCATCAACCTCACCGCCAGCGTCTCTGGCGCCCGGGTGGGCGCGGACGCCATCCGGGCCCTGGCCTCGACGGGGAGGTCCCGCCTGGAGACGCTGTTCCTCATAGCCTTCGACTCGGAGGGGGAGCAGTCGCACGCCGCCCAAGTGCAAGCGCTGATCGACGCGCTGCCGTCGCTGCCTGCCCTACGGGAACTGAGGACGTATTTAAACGTGAAGCAGGAGAACGACGCCCTGGTGCTGTCCATCACCCCCACCACTGCACCCGCCCTCCAGAGGGTCCAGCTGGGGCTCGCAGACGACCTGTGCGTTCACGCCTGGTTCCACGGGGACGCGTTCAAGACCGTCATGGCGAGAAACCCCTTGCTCCATTTCAATCTTTACGGAAAGACGATCTACTGTTTTAAAAAGACATGTCCGTCATGCGCACGAGGTTGCCACTCAGTACTGGCGGAGTGGGGAAGGATCTACTACGTGTTCTGCCATGATTCGGACGAAAAATGTCCAACAAACCACAAGACTAGAACCCACTTCTTTATCCACTGGGTCCATAACGATTGATGAGATTGTCTGGTTATTTGGTTTCCATTTCCTTTGTTTGACTATTTGTCTTAACAATTTGTGTTTTGTTTGCTTTTGCTTTATGGGCTGTAAATTAAATTATTGCTTGTTTTGGATGTGTTTGTTTTTTTATCAGAATATTGACATTTCCGCACAATAAGCTCCGATATGATTCATTAAAAAATATCCAGTTGCCTTTGAGGACTCCACCACACAACACTTGATTCCAACCCCACAGCGTAAATCTGGCTCTATCACTAGCTACCTAGGATTTAAAAAACAAAAATACATTTTCAGTTGTGCACTCACGTGTCGACAGAGGAAGCCCAGTGCGATGGTGACCACGATGAGGACGCCCGACAGCGAGAACTTGCTCGGCACGATCGTCCTGTAGACGGCACTAGAGATGTAAATTTTCAGAAAAATACACATTTAAGTTTTCGTGCAAAATTTCCCCCTAAATTACCCCAAATGACGATAAAAAAATATTTCATGTTTTTAAGGTTTCAAACAGAATTAAAAGCCCAGGAAATTTTTCTAAAAATTTTCCGAAAATTTGTGGAAATTTCCAACCCTAGTTTTTAAAATACTATTTGATTTGAGTAATTTTTTTTCTGATTGTTCTATCTCTGCCACACAGCACTCACGTCCAGTCGCGGAGGCCGCGGCGCTCCTCCTGGTCCAGGGCGGCCCCGATGACGACCACGTTCATGGCGCAGTGCGCCAGCGCGATGAGCGACAGCAGCAGCACCTTGAGCAGGTGCGACAGCTGCGCGGGCAGCGAGGACGCCACCAGCACCAGCACGCAGAAGTACGAGAAGTAGGACGGGTACAGGCACGTCTGGCCCGGCGTCTGCAACAGGTAGGAACCTCAGCGTCGGACTCTACCCGCGAGGTGGGGTACTTTTTTTCACGGCCGTCGGCTCGTGAAACCTGGCAGGTTTCATGTATCGTGCGCGCTATGGGTACAGCTACCCCGCGCTTTGAAAAAGTGTTCAACCAAGGTTAATCTGGGTGTATCGTAAGAAAAGTACCCCACCCTCCTGAAGGGTAATATAAGTACCCCACCCTCCTGAAGCGTGATAAAGGTGTACAACCCCCCTGAATCGTAATAAAGAGGCACGATCTGCGGAGGCGTGATAAAAGTACCCCTGAGGTGATAAAAGTACTCCTGAGCTGATAAAAGTACCCCTGAGGTGATAAAAGTACCCACCGCCGCGGTGCAGGGTGCGGCGGACGGCGCCTCGGGCAGGCCGTCGCCCAGGACCTGGGGCAGGGCCTGGGCGGGCGCGCCGCCGCTGCGGTTGGCCGCGATGGCCACGCCCTCGTAGTCGGTGCAGTTGACGACCAGGCCCGGCGTCGAGCACGACACCATGTCGACGACGTTGGCGGCGCCCAGGATGAGCACGACGACGAGGGCGAGCGAGCGCCGCACCCACAGCGTGTTGTTGAGGGACTCGGAGCAGCGCACGAGCGTGCCGGGGAAGGCCTTGGGCAGCGCCTCGGCCACCACGCAGATGGTCAGCAGGATGAGGAAGATGAGGCCGAGGATGAACGACATGATGTTCATCGTGTCCCTGGAACAGAACAGCGAGCCGAACAGCCGTCAGTACTCGCCACCGCAGCTAGCAATCTTAATTTTCAGGAAAAGTATCCTCAGGAATTTTTATTACAATTTCTTAATTTTTTCCTGAAAAGTTACTTTCCTTTTCAATTTTTCTGTAAATATTTCCAATTTTTCCAATTTTTCTGGAAAAGTTACCAATTTTTTTTTCGGAAAGAATTGCCCGGCGTGCTAGCGCGTTGTATACCTGGGCAGGACGATCATCTGCGCGACGGACGTGAAGAGCAGCGCGATGGGGCAGCCGATGATGGACAGCGAGCTGTTGGTCTCCTTGTGGTGCTGGTAGTCCTGCTCCTTCTTGCCGTCCACGAAGGCCAGGGTCAGCAGCTTGGTGGCGCTCGAGAGGTCCCTGCCGCATCGGAACCGTGTTAGCGCGGGGCGGTCAAATTTACGCCATTCTCACAGAGTGGGATAAGGTTTTTCGAACGGACGTTTGGGTCAAAGAGCTCAACCAAAAATGTTGAAGTATTCAAACAATACGCCGAGTGAGACCCCCCCCCTTTTCCCTCCCGAAAAAGTAAACCCTTACTTCTGTCCGTCGCGGCTCATGAGCTCCTTCCGGAGGCGCTTCTTGAAGTCCTCGGAGTCCTCCTGGCCGCGGCCGCCGGCCTCGGCGAGCACCCTGGTCTCCTCCTGCAAATAACACGCGGCGTGTTGAGCGCATAGGCGGGCCCGGTGTCGATTCGCTTATAGTGGCGTAAGGGAGCCTGCAGGACCCCAGGACCCCTTTCCCTTTGTGCTTCCCGCTTACGTTGCAGTGCTCGTCCTTGGCTATCTCGAGCGCCGTGTCCTCGGTGATGCCGCCGTTTTGCGGCTCGGCCGAGTCTCCGGCGAACTGCGTCCCGGAAAGGGAAGAGACACACGTTCAGATTAGACATGGCGTTCAACCTGTTGCAATTACTTCCCGATGGGGTACTTCACCATCAGTTCAAGCGTATACAGATTTTCTCCCTTGATTGTTCTTAATTATTTTTTAGTTTTTTTTTCTTCTTATATTTGTCTCTGACTTTTCCCTGTATTTTTTTTTTGAGTGGTGTACTCTGATTTTATTTTATTTTTGTACTGAAGTACCCCTTCCGCCGAAGTACTCACCGGCTTGAGCGTCTTGGTGATGAAGTACGTGGTGATGTTGGCGGCGCGCAGCATCTCTTCGCGCTTCTCCCCGTAGGCGCGCTCCGTCTCGAAGGCGCCGTCCAGGAAGCCGAGGGTCCTGTTGGAGATGTGCACCCTCCTGCGCGGCAGCACACGCACGAGGTGTATTCTTTAGTACAGTGCACATCGTGTGTTTCAGTTTACATTAGGGTTGGAAGCCCTGGAAATTTTCCGGAAAATTTCCGAAAAAAAGCAAAAAATTTCCGGGAAAACGGAAAATTTTCCAGATCTGAGAAAATTTCCGTTTTTTTTCCATTAATTTTTGGGATTTTTTCGGAAATTTTTCTTGAACTTTGGAAAATTTACAACCCTAGTTTACATTTATTAAGGCTTTTGGATACGCGCAAATTTAATCCGTGGCCGCGCTATATTGCATTTTGTTTCCGTCATCATGAGACATTCTTTACGAAATAACTCTGAAAACTATTTGGCACTGAATATGTCGGGGCCGACGGCTCGCCGCTCTGGCGCGCTCGTCCGCCCCCGCGCGTGTGTGTGGCGTAGTGTCGTACCCTTTCATGCCGCTGCTCTCCATCTTGTTGGCGAGCTCCACGTCCTTGGAGTACACGTCGAACTGCCACTGCCGCTGGCCCAGGACGCCGGCGAGCACGGCGCCCGTGTGGATGCCGACGCGCATGTCCACCGGCGAGTTGGTGGACTGCTGCACGTACCTGTGAACAAGAGAGCGCGCGGGCGCGGGGGGGCGTCGTCAGGCACCTGAGGTATCGGAGGGGTTATTGCCGAGGATTGCGGGGTGAAGGCCTCGGGGACGGCGGCCGCGATGTTCCCCCGGGAGGTCGGCACCGCGAGTGCCGCCCCGGTAAGCGGGAGGCCTACGCTGCTGTTGGTAGGCGCCGCGTCGGGGTGCGGCCCCCGGGAGGTAGGCACCGCGAGTGCCGCCCCGGTAGGCGGGCGGCCTACGCTGCGGTTGGTAGGCGCGGGCCGGCCTCCAGCTCCCACGGGCTTGCGGGCCGAGGCGGGCGGCGCGTGGCGGAGGTGGCGGGTGGCACGGAGGAGGAGGAGGACAAGAGGCCGCCAGGGCCAGGGGAGCAGGGGGTTGGTGGGGCACGGATTCATCGGATGCCTGTGGCTGTCAACGACCTGTTCATTGAATATCTCGGTCACGTCAGGCCGTGTCTGTCCAGGGGGG